CACTCCACTTACTGCTCCAAAACAAGGCCCAGGAGTGTGTGGAGGGGTCTGGGATACAGCTCCTGCCAAGTCCTTCTCACGCACAGCCCCGTGGGCTTGTACGGCTTTTGCCCAATCGGACAGCACGTTTGTATTGCGGGAATGAGTCTGCAGCTCGTTCCCTGACAGAGACCTCAAAACGGGCATGGAGACTCAGGGAGGGAGCACCAGAGCCAGAGGCAAATGCAAGTGTGCCCACCCAGATGCAACCATCGTCTTTCCCCACTGCCCCGTGCCACATGTTACACTGACCTCGCGTCCTCCTGCACCCCCTTAGATGGATGCCCACGTACTGATGTGCCCCACAGCACCCCTGACAGGGGGCTGTTTAAGTCCGTACATTCAAGGGAATCAGTGAACTGACTCAGACCTGAAGGGCCTGGAATAGAGGGAAGCCCCAAGAAGGGCTGTCGCCGGCAGAGGGGAGAAGGTGGGAGTTCAAGTGGAAGTCACCCTCTGGACCGAGCTCAGTTTCCTCCGCTTGTTCCCAACTCCGCAGTGCTTGCCCTGGGCAAAAACATGGCTTAATAAAGCTGGCTTTATCCCCAGGTTAGCGAGGCCAGGGCTTCACCCCCTGCCCCCATGCCCTTTGCGTGCGGGATCTTACCTCACCTCTGGCATCAGCACTGAAGTATCCCAAGTGCTAAGAGCTGGCAAGTGGCAGAGCCAGGCTTTGAGCTCGGGCCTTCTTGCCTCTTTGCCCACTTGACCACTTGCCATCTCCACTCCTGTGATTTTGCTGCGACAGCAAGACACCACAGACAGGCGAGAATACGTTCAGCTGGAAACAGCATAACGGGCTTGACCAGAAAGGAAAAGCCCCCCTTGGGACTCCGCTAACCCTCTGCTCGAACAACCAGAAACACAAAACACAGGCCTCGCATAGCCAGAGGCAATAAAACCCTGGGATTAATTTAACCAGGCTCTAGATGCCAGTGCAGCTGCAGCAGCACTTGGTTTGCTTAAGGAAGGAGAAGTTCTGATTTCAGCTCAGATCCGAGGGAAAGTCTAGCCCCGTCCCACGCAGCCGGCTGTGCTGCAGAGCTCGCGAGCACCATGCGTATGGCTGTCCCCTTCCGACCACGGCACCAGGCGCAGCCGTACTGTACGTCTCTGCAAGCCTTGGCTGCTCCCTGTACCGCCGTGCAGCCAGGCCTTTGGCTTGGATTCTCCTAGCGCCCTTGTGTTTCAGGTGCTTTTCTAAAAAGCTGCTGAGATCTGCAAATCAGGCATCCAAATCTCCTAGGCAGGTTTTGACCCAGTCGGGTCAAGATGAAATGGGGTGTGGGGTTCCTCCAGCACACAGGCTGCCTCTGCCAGCCCATGGGCCGTTACTTGGTCAGGAATCTGGTATCTCTTCCTAAAAGCTACGGGCTCCCCGGTCCCTGGGGTGGCATCGTGAGAGTCCCTCTTCCAGGCTTTCACGGTCACTGGGTTGGAAAATGGGGTTCCCCTGGCAGTGGACACAGAAGCTTGGGCTCCCCTGTAGCGGCTTCCCCCAGCTCTCATGCAGAAAGGGCCCATTCGCCAGAATTAAAAGAAACAAGCCCCCAAAACCCAGCTGGAAAAGGGAGGTCAGACAGCTCTGAGAAAGCTCCTACTCCAAGAGGTGTCGTTGGCACGCCGCTGGTGGAGAAACCTGGGAGAGAGGAGGCTGCCAATTCTAATCCCTGCATCCCCCCCAAACCATGGGGAACAAAGCAGAGGGGGAGGACGGGCCTCTGATCACCCCCGTCTTCACCGCCCCGCAGGCACAGCTGCAGTTGCAGGGCAAGGGCCTCTCACTCAGCAACAGCTTTGTGGAGAAGCTCCGATTTCAGCTAAGATCAGAGGGAGAAGTCTAGCCCTCGTCCCAGACAGCCAGACCTCATAGCAGCTTTGCACAGCCCCGAGAGCCATTGGTCCCCCCTGGTTTGCAAAAGCATCATATGGAGAAACAGAGCTGGGGACAGCTGCCCTTGCCCTGGCTGCCTCTCTCTGGTGGATACCGTCTTCTCCGCCAAGCTCTGCTCTCTCTCCTCCTCCTCCTCCACGGGAGGCTTTGCAGGGAGGTTCTCGCAGGCCACCTCTTTGTCCGTAGGATACCTGTGTCTTCCCTTCCCCGGGGGGCCAGAAATGGAAAGTGCCACGCCACCACGGAGAGGCTGCAACCCCAGAGCGGAGCCAGGAGGGGTCGGCACACAGGTAGAAACCCTGTGGGGTGGCAACCTCCCCAAGCCCCGTGGCAGTACTGCCCCAGGGGGGCAAGGAGGCCATGCGCAGCTGGAAGCAGGCCCTGCACGCGACATGGAGCGCCACCATCATTACGAGCTGCCGGGAGAGCAGGGGTGTCTGCATAGTCGTGCGGGCCAAATCCCAGCAGGGGAAAGACGTCTCCTTCAACTGGGGTGCTTTTGCCTTTGCAAATGGATGGGCTGGCTTTGCAGCCCCCCTGCCTGCAAGTTGCTGGGACACAGGGCTCGAGGGGGCTTCCTGAGGCATCTGATTCAGTCTGTAGGGGTGGTCTTGGTCTCTGTAGGGACCTAAATGGTGCCTGGACACTTCCAGAGCTCTGTGCCCAGCTCTCCCCCTACCTTTGTCCCCTACCATTGCTCTCTACCCAGGTGCTCCCTTATGCTGGGAACAGCTCCCCTCTCTTGGCACACGCTGGTGGCACTTGCTGATGAGTGAATAAGTCAGTGCATCCGGGTGGCTGCGCACTCCAGGATCCTTGCAGGGAGACCATCGGAGAAATGGCCAGTATTAACAAGCAATAAAGCTGCGGATGCAACTGCTTCCGGCACTAGATGCAAGTGTCACAACCGCCTCTCCAGGGTGCAGATACCAGTGCTGCAGCCATGGGAGCTGGGGTGTCGGCGCATCTAAACACAGGGATGACGTGCTCTTGGGTAACTAGGGCTCCCTGGGAATCTGGAGCAGGGACGCTGGCCAAGAGGGATATCTCAGTTCTGCACCTCCAGACACGATCCCTGACACCCCAGAGGGATGTTACCCCCTGACATTAGGGAGATGAGCCCCTCAAATTCAAAGAACTGGCCCAACAGTTTGTCCCAGGGGCATAGCCAGCTGGTCAGGCTCTCTCTTCCCCTTCCAGGACACTGCTGGAAAACCAGCTAGACCCTCCCCAGCCAAAGTCGGTGATGGCCAGCCACTCGCACAGGGCGTATCGCACTGGCTGATGCACACAGCCCGGCAGAGCTCTGACCCCGTCTGGCACTGGCCAGGTATGATCCATTCCCAAATGGGAAAGGCGCTGCACGCTGAGCCTGCTGCTCTGTTGAGACCAATCCGGATTACAGACCCATAGAAACAGAGCTGGAAGAGACCTCCAAGGATCCTCTGCTCCAGCCCCTGCTCAAGGCCACATCCCCTGTCTAAACCCTCCCTCCCATACACCCGTTTGTCTCGCCCACACCTAAGCACTTCCAGCAGTGGAGATTGCACAACTGCTCTAGGTGATTTGCTCCTTCCTAGGACAATGCTGGAAATCCCCTTCATTGGTGGTTTCCAAGAAGAAACTGGACGGGCATCTGTCTGGGGCAGCTCAGGAGCAATGAACCCTGCATCTGTGCAGGGGCCGGACAAGGTGACCCCAAAGTCCCTCCGAACTCAATGCTTTTACACATTATCCTGATTCTTCTCCGTCTCAGCTTTAAAAGCTGTCTCACCTCCTCCTAACACAGAGCCTGACTTCTGATCCCCAGACAGCACCGGAGAGGGAAAGAAACACAAGTAAATCCCAGTCCACGCAGCAGTCGCACCCCCTCCTCTCCCAGCTGGACGCTCATTTAACAAGGAACACATCAGTCTCTCCCTAACGAGCACGGTGGGGGGAAAACTGCATGTCCTGGGGGGGGGCAAAAGAGGCATCTGACCTTTCCTATCCACATTTCTCCCTGTTTCCCACTTGAGAACTGTAAGAACATTAGCTAACGAGGCCCATGTCCTGGCAGTCTCAGCCAAGCTCCCACATCAGGACAGGATTAGGGCACAGCTGAGAGCTGCTTTGCAAGTTGCTACCAAAAAGGCTTCAAACAGATGCCGTTCTGGAAGCACGGCCACAAGCGGAGCATCGGCAGCTGGGGGCTCCCCCACGCCTGGCAGCCACCCCACCCCGCCGGGGTCCAGCCCGTCCTTCCTGGGACCAGCTTCCCCCTGGCGGAGCACTGCACGCCCACCCATTTTACACCTCTCCATGTCCCCTCGCAGCTGAGCCAGCTCGGACCCACAAACCCGCCATCCCCTCCCGGCGTGTTACAGCACAGCGTTAACGTGGCGACAACGAGCCCCGGGGCACAGAGGACCGACCGAGCTATTTACACTCCAGGAATTGATGGCCCCCCTTGTCTAAAGTGTCCTGTGCCCGGGGTTTTTTTCCGGCGAGCCTTGTCTCTGTGCGTGCCCTGCAGGCCCCATCTGAACAGGACAGTGCCCCGGTCGCCTGCCCTGTCCTGGAGCCACAGCCCAGCATCGTCCACACCCCAGTCCCCATTCGCCCTGGCGGGACTGGCCACGTCCCCTGTCCGCCCGGAGCCAGTGCTCTCCCGGCACCCCAGCCAAACCAAGGGGCTCTGTTTGCCCACCTGGCTACAACAGCCTGCGTGCTTTGCTCCTGGCCAGTAGCTTCCCCCAGCGTGCCCCGTCCCCACTGCGCCAGAGCGTTTCAGGCCACCACGCTGGTCCCAACAGCACTGGGCACCTTGGCCCCAAATCAGGACCCAGCGCCCTGCAGACGGGGCAGCTCCTGCCCTGCACGGCGCACAAGGGGAGGGAAGGGGATTGGGAGGGGAAGGGATCGCAAAGCCCAGCGCTGCGAGCCGGGCTGGAGCGGCATGGGCAAGCCCTGCCAGGACCCGGGGGACTAGTGGGGACAGCAGAGCAGCACCCCGTCCGCCCGGGCTCCCGCCCGGGCTCCCTCCCGTGCCAGGCGGCGGTGCTCGGCGCTGCACGGCGGCGCTCACCTGCCTGGGAGACGAGGCGGATCCAGAGCCAGAGGGACAGCGGGCACACTCTCCTCAT